ACAAGTCTCGTAATTGGCTACCTAAGGTGATATCTGTATGTCTACGACACCACATGCAATTGACACACTCATCCGGTGAAAACTACTCTAAGGTTCTTATACTTACCGTCTAATTATCAAAATAGCTCTGTCGAGTCAATCCCAATAATCACAGATAAAGCACATAAATTGATCAAGTTCATGCACTAACAATCATAACAAGTATAAGAAATAATCATAAAATCATAATTGTATAATCTCAAGAAAACGGGTTCACCATCCCCACATAGGGTTCCGACAAAATCCTAGATTAAAAACTTAGCTACGCGTAATTCTTATGATAAACAAAATATAAACATAAAAAGAAAAGATTAAGAAAAGATAGATAAAAGAAGAATTGTGATGAAGAGTTGTCAATTCTCCGTCTTCGATTCTTCGTTCTCTCGCTCCTCTCGCTCCAAGGTTGTGTCCAAAATTTCCGATTCGTGCTTGGTTTGGTCTTAAATAGATGCCCCAACTTGGTAGATGATTTTAGGTTTCCTTGTGTGATTAAAAGTCCAAAATTGTGTCCAGCGTGTGTTGGCGCGGCCGCGCGAAAATCAGTGCAATTCTCGCACGGCCGCACGAGAATCGTCGAACCTTCTGCCCAAATTCAGCATTTGGCACGGCCGTGCCAAAAATAGGCTAACTTTGGCACGGCCGTGCGGGCCTATTTTCAGCCAATTTCAGCATATTTTTGATTATTTCACTTTTGGCCCATATTTTCTCCAAATTTGCAGTTTTGACCCCAAACTTTTCCAATTCTTCAATTTATACCTAAAATACAATAAATCATCTTTTTAAGCACCAATTATCGTTAATTCACACAAAAAAACTCAAATAAACAGATACGATAAAGTGTAAAAATATACACTTAACACACCCCGTACCCACCAATTTGTGGTTCAACTTCAAAGAAATCGTAGATCCAAACACCCCACACGGTATCGATTCAATCTTACACACAATCGCCACCTAAAACCGCGTACAATACCTCAGATTTGCGAAGCCGATGATAAATCGAAACTCCCGTACCCGACGACAGATCCCCACAAAATCACCCTCAGATTGAGCGCGCCGATGAGACGAGTTTAATGGTGTCGCCACCGAAGAAATCCGATCACCGGAGGAGGAGGAACGGCCGCCGAAAGCACCCCTTTGGCCGAGAAAGCAAGAGGGGCGGAAAAAGCTTTTCCTAACTTTGGGGAGCGTTTTTTTTATGATTGATCTTGGATTTCATGACATGTGTGTGGGGTGTGTGTGTGTGCTGAGTGTGCTGAAAGATGTTGGATGGTGTGAATCTAGGTTAAAAGCTCATTGGTTAATATTGGTGAATTATGATGATTATTGTATAATATTTTCCTTGTGTGTCACTCTTGATTGATATTTGTGATGTTTATGTAAAGATTGAATTATGTGTTAATGCATGATCATTATTTCGAAAAGTGTGCACATAACTTGTTATTGAAAAGTGAAAGATTAATGGAATACTCAGGTAATAAACAAATCGGATATGGTGGGCCTGTATCCAACTAGGATGAAATGAAATGTGTGATTTGATTCCACTAGTAAAAACGTGCTCATAACAGATTTTTATCGAAGTACATCAATTAATCTTCCACGGATCCGATAAAAAGAAAATGGATTTCACACGATTTTCACCAAAAGGGGATTGTGGTCAGTTTTGCATAACGACGTATTTTTTTTTGGAATTAATATGTTTTCGTGACTTATATGCTTATTTGAATACTGAGTTGTGTTTGGATGATGAATGAAGGTGATTGAAATGATATATAATATTATATATTATACAACCTATTTTCAATGTTTGATACTTATCGGGTTTCTTACTTAGCTTTATAGTTCATATAAGTACCTTTTGATTGAACCTAACAGTAGTAGCAATCCTCCATCGGAATGGATCGAGTTCCGTGCCTAGGTCTTGCCCAGAATTTTGGAAAGTTTGTACGGGGTTCTATAAATGGTGCTAAATTATATATTTTGGTGATGTATAATTATAAATTCAATTTCCTTTTCGTTTATTTTGATTTTCGGATTCCTCGCTAGAGGAATGAACTTTTCATTCGTAGAAATCCCATTTTGAACCTTATTATATGTTTAGATCCGTTTATATTTATAAAATAGCTAGTTTTATTTATGTCTTTATTTCTTATCAAACATATTTCTAAAATTGTAATTTCTATCTCGAACTGATAATAAAAGTTTTTACAATAGTATAGCAATCGAATAAACTCCTTCATTAAAAGTTATTTCAAATCGAGAATTTAAACCGACTAAAACCCGTCAAAGCAAGTTTCTTCGAAAATGTTAAATGTTTTACATACTCAAGATATGGGTTTTAAACGACAAAGATTTTAATATTAAGCTTTAAATTACAACGAAATCTAAAATTCTTCCACTAAATAAGTCAAATTCCGATAAATGGGTTCATTTTATCGCCTATATGAGAGGAGGGGATTATATATATATATATATATATATATATATATATATATATATATATATATATATATATATATATATATATATATATATATATATTATCACGACATTTATCGCCAAATTTACACTTTAAACCAATCGTATAATTTTGTGTACTTTGGACGCTAATTGCACGTGATTTGCACGCGAGTTTAATCGGGTAATTATTGATTTATGAAATAAAATGATGTGTGTGTGTGTGAATTTGGCGATAAATGTGGTGATATATATATATATATATATATATATATATATATATATATATATATACATTAATGGAGAAAATAGGCGATGTAGACATAACAAAAGACCATATCTATATAGTCACGTATTGTTTGCTTAATGCCAAAATTTATAGTGTCATATATTGTTTGAACCAATGATTTGCAGCTTGTCTATTTCAAAAAACAACTAAATTATGATATTGTTTTTGAAGATCTTCTAAGATCAATATATTTTTTTCTTGTCAGTTGCTTGTAGTAGAGAATTAATGTTCATTGGAAGAAACATTTTGAAATTTTCATATTAAAATAAAAACCATTGAATGTTTGAAATATTAAAGTTCTTGATTCATGGTAAATGCATACATGAAATACGGGATGGGTGGTTTTGTTTTGATGGACTTGGCGAGTGTGAAATTTAAAACATGTAGATAGATTCTTCGTTTATCTAGTGGATAGATGAGGAATGTTCATTTTGTTTAAAGAATTGTATAGTACGACAGTCTGCAACAAATATAATTGAACAATGCAATTTTAAATTTAGGATTATCACGATTAAATTTGCATGGAATTTTTTTTTTCTCTTAAAGTAAATACTGTGTAAAATGTATTTACTTATATTAAACTTACACATGCGCAACGTAGACGAAGATAAAAGTCCTAGGTAGCCAAATATGCCAGTTATATGAGCGCTAGAGGGCTTTTTCATGTTGCATGGAAGTCAATTTCCTCACGTTTTACATATATTATTCTCCTCCCGATCGTAGAGTAAATACCGATATTTATTATAAGATAATGTTTTTCAATAATAAGAAACTAATAATACGATTTTGTTTTTGTTTCAGATTCAAGTAGTAAGCATTGTGAGTATTGACGGAGCTTGTTTAGCCATAGGTGTGATTGGGCTATTAGTATGGAATGGACGCTATGATGGTCCTAATGCAGCTGGACACGTATTCTTCATCAACAACATTGGTTGGCTCGATCTTAGCAACGCTAGGCCACATAATAAGTTTTTTTTTAATATTATTTTATTATTCTTTGATTAAATTTTATTTTAATTTGTTTACTAATATATTGTTCTTTTTTACAGTCCGAGTTGATCAAAACACAAAATCCGTATCTATTTCCGTTGTTCTTAACATATTTCCAAACTTTAGAGGGCATTGCGTTAGTCACAAATGCAGAAGTTTCAAATAAGCTACACTTTTTGGTAACCAAATATTAAAAGGAACAATAAATTAATTTATACTTTTTGATATTTCTTAATTTGTCATTTTAGTTTACAAATTCCAAATGTAGGTGGAGTTATCATTGGAATGATTCAAATTGCCATCTTCATATACTTCTACATCCGCCAGTATTTTGTAACCCCAGCCGGAGGAGGCGAACGTCGAGCTAGAGCAACTTATATCTACATTGGAGGAGGGATATATATATATATATATATATATATATATATATATATATATATATATATATATATATATATATATATATATATATATATATATATATATATATATATATATATATATATATATATATATATATATATATATATATATATATATCTATATATATATATATATATATATATATATATATATATTATACCACCACATTTATAGCCAAAATTATACTTTAAACCTAATCATATAATTTTGTATAATTTGAACGTTAATTGCACATGATTTGCACGTGAGTTTCATCAGGGTAATTATTAATTTATGAAATAAAGTGATATATATATAGGGCCTTGCTAAACAGCCAGAATATTTATAATTTTTTTTAATTATTTTACATAATTAATACCATTTATACCCTTAGTTGTCATGGCTCCTAATTTCCCTCCCTAATTTCCCTCTCTATTTTCCGACGTGATTTATCATTAATATTTGAATGGAAAGTTGAACCAGTCAGCTGTCAGTATATTTTTTCCACACAATATAAATATAATAAAATAATGATTAGTTTTACAAGTTTCCAAATAAACACACGCTATTTGGGTATTTGATTCTACAATTTACTAAACACGTTAACAATTACAAATTGTAATACACGATAATATAATAGTATTAATATTAATATTATATTTATATTAAAATTAATATTAATATTAATATTAATATTAATATACACTATAAAATACACTCTAATATACTACACTATGTTATAATTCATAAAAGATATCAAATTTACAAACATTTAAATAGAAAAAATGATCGAAAAGAGAGCAAATAAAAAAATATTAAAGAGATGGATTCGAGCTTGATTGCAATGATGGAAGAGTTGTTGGGAGCCAATTCAGAAAACAACTTCGCATCCACAAACGAAGTTCAATCATTTGGTTCGCATGAAGTCGAAGTTTTATCCCATCACATTGAAGCACCATCCACAAGCAATATCGAGGATGAAGTTGAGATTTCGTCCAACCACACTGAAATACCACTCATAAGTAGTGTCCAGGAAGGCCCGACAACAGGTACATTATATCCGGACATCGAAAGCTTGTTCCGGTTCTACCTAGAACATGCAAAACATCGAGGTTTTGGCGTTATCAAAAGAACAACTCGCAAAACTGCTGATGGTGAGAACAAATATTTGCTAATGACATGTGATAAGAGTCGAAAGACAATACCCCAAAAGACAACGAAAAGAGTAGATTGTCCAGCTCGGGTTAATACCATAAAACAATGTGATGGAAGTTGGATGGTCTCAACAGTAGTTGCAGGACACAACCATGAACTTACTCCCGATATGTCCATTTTAATACCGGCTCGCAGAAATATTTCTACCAGTATGAAACGACAGCTTGAAGCCAATGATATTGCGGGAATAAGGCCATGTAAAAGCATAAGATTGGCCGAAGTTCAATCTGGTGGTCCTATGAATTTAGGGTGTCTTCCTAAAGATTGTAGGAATTTTATTGAAGGTAGAAGAAAGTTGAGACTTGGTACTGGCGATGCTGAGGCCATTCGAAAGTTGTTCTGGGGTTTGCAAAAAAGGGACACGAACTTCATCTATTCCTTGGATATTGATGACCATGGTAGGTTATGCAATATGTTGTGGATTCATTCGCGATGTCGTGCAGCTTACGCGGAGTTTAACGATGTCTTGACTTTTGATACAACATACCTCGTGAATAAGTACAAGATGCCGTTTGCAACTATTGTTGGCATCAATCATCATGGTCAATCGATATTGTTAGGATGTGCTTTGGTTATACATGAAGATGCTGAATCTTTCAAGTGGTTTTTCAAACATTGGCTTGAAGCTATGGATGATGTTCACCCCAAGTGCATAGTAACTGACCAATGTGAAAGCATAAAAATAGCTATTCGGGAATTAATGCCTGGCACGATTCACCGATATTGCTTGTGGCACATTATGTCTAAGGTGCCGCAAAAGTTCAAAGGTGTTGCTCAATACAATAATGTTGTTCGAGATTTTAAACGTATTGTTTATGAATCTATTACATCTGAGACCTTTGAGCTTAAGTGGAGTGAGTTCTTTATTTAATGAAAAGGAAAGTTGGGTACCTTGCTACTTGATCACGTTTTTTGGGCCGGAATGTTGTCGACTCAGAGAAGCGAGGGGATGCATGCCTTCTTTGACGGATACATTCATTCTAGATCAAGTTTAAAACAATTCGTTGAACAATATGAATTAGCCATGGCCAACAAGATTCAAAAGGAGTTCATAGCCGAGCATGAATCAAAGAACAAGTTGATCAGGTGCTTGAGCCAGTTCCCTTGGGAAAGACAGTTTCGATCTGCGTATACGAACAATCTATTCAAGAAAGTGCAGGAAGAAATATCTTGTATGTTGTACTGCCATATTGTAGTTGAACAATATGACCAAACGAGTGGGGTTGAAAAAATATCGGTGCATGAGAAGAGCAAGGTTAATGAATTCTACACGAGAGACTTCACGTTCACAGTGGATTATACGGTTGATGGGGAATATTTTTCTTGTAATTGCAAGAAATTTGAATTTATGGGACTATTATGTTGTCACATACTAGTTGTGTTGAGCAAGAAAGACGTCCAATCTGTAAATGAACGGTATCTTCTACGTCGATGGAGAAAGGACATATACAGACGTCATTATAGCATAATTTTTGCTGGAGGATACCCGCACATGACAGAAAAGTACAAGAAATTTCAAGACGTCGAGAGGGTATTCCAGGAATGTGTTGATAGTGCCATTTCTAGTACTCAGAAGATGGATTTTCTTAAGCAACGAATGGATGAAGTAAAGGATGAGTTGTTGCAATTCGATCAACCACCAGTGGGAGAGAGTACCAATGTATCTGCAAGGACAAATGGTGTCGATTCCGTTGGAGGCACGCCAATATTAAATCCAAAAGTTACTTGTGCTCATGGAAGGCCGAGACAAAATCGTTTCATCTCAGCTAGTGAAGTCAATCGAGGTCGAAGAGCCACAAGAGGTAGGGGCAACTTGGGACGTGGTAGGGGCAACTCGGGACGTGATAGGGGTAACTCAGGACGAGAACGAAATAAATTTTGATATATTGAGTCTTCGAAGCAAATTATATATTGAGTCTTCGAAGCAAATTTCGATAAGTATATATAATATAATTCTTCTTTATATTTTCTATTTAAGTTTCATGCATTCTATAATAGTCCAATTTATTATTTTATGTTTTAACATGCATGCATTCTTTAAGAGTCCAATTTATTATTTTATGTTTTAACATGCATGGATTATATAATAGTCCAATTTATTATTTTATGTTTTAACATGCATGCATTCTTTAAGAGTCCAATTTATTATTTTATGTTTTAACATGCATGCATTCTTTAAGAGTCCAATTTATTATTTTATGTTTTAACATGCATACATTCTTTAAGAGTCCAATTTATTATTTTATGTTTTAACATGCATGCACCTAGCCAACCCCACTGTAGCTCTCTCTCTCTCCCCTGTTTCTGGCTCATTGGTCCCGTAAAAATGAATTTATTACGTATAACAAACCGTGCAATTGTTATAGTATAAATTCTACACAATTCCTTTGAAGGTCACCCACCTACTTCTACATAAAGTAATATTCTTATTTCTGTAACATGGCAAACACTCCAACGAAAAACACCATAGCGAAAGAATGGGCCGTTTCTCCGAGTCCAAAGAGTTTGGAGGCCTTATATCTGAGTACACGAGAAGACCATTTCCAATTCTAACATGAGACAACGGAGTTCATCAAGCGGATTGTGGTGGTCTTTGAACTAGACGATGTTCGGGCAAAAATTCTTGAAGAAGGAGAATCACTAGTGAAAATTTATGATCTCCTACTTCAGGTGCTTAAGTCTATGGATGATGCTCCAGTCACTCCAAAAAAAATGCCTGTAATTGTCCTCTCTGATACGAGCTCCAATCCTTTCTAATTATTATGCTTTTAAATTATTTTGTTTGAAATAATATTTGTAAGGAGCTAGCTCCACGTCTCCTTTTTATATTTTAATAAATAAAGTAATATTTTCCATTAATTGTGGAAATACAATTCAAAATAATTTATTAAAAAAATAGAAAATAATGGTAGCAATCTATGATCACAATTGCAAATTCGAATAACAAACAAAACTAATGTAATACGGACCCAGACATTAATCTCCTTATTTAACAGCCTCGATATTGGAGAGAGTTAATAAAAAAAACAACGAAATTTGAAATAATTAGATTCTAAAATGATACTTTTAAAACCACGCCTTATAAATTGAAAATATTTTTAAGAGTTTAAATTATAAACAGGCAGTCCGTTAGAATTATAAAGTCAGATCTCCTTCATACCATAACACCTATATTTTTTCTAAGGAAATGATATTCTCAATTGAATTTAAGTATAATACGTTAAAATAGGAACTAATTACCATTACCATCTCAAATGAACAGTAATGGGTGAGCATCTGCTTAACTTTGCTATTAAATAATTATTTTTCCATAATATATATATATATATATATATATATATATATATATATATATATATATATATATATATATATTATGTTTTCTATATTTTTCATTTTTAAGTTGGCCATTAAAATTAATTTAAACTATTGAAGTTTCCATGGCTCAAAGAAAAATGAAATATGTAAATATTTGGGTTGACCATTTGGAAAAAGTGAATCTTTCATCTTCATGTAAAAATGAAAAAACAAAATCCTTCGTTTCTTTAATAGTTAGCCGTGTCAATTTTTTTTATTGTTAAATTGGAAGCTGTACCAGGAGAGAGAAATCAAAATATTTAAATTCAAATATATTCATATTGTAAGGGCACACTAGTAAATAGACTTAACAACTTTTCTCAATATTACAAAAATGCTATTTTCTGGCTGGCCAGATTCTGGCCATGTAGCTTTATATATATATATATATATATATATATATAATTAATGGAAATTAATGGCCCATAAAATTTCGTGTTTAAAGTTATTAATTGTTTGATGAACTACGTGTGTTGGATGATTTTAATTGTTTTAACTAACATAAAACCGTTTAATATTGATAAATAGTTTTTTAAATATTTATTTCAGTACACAAATATTTTTTTGTTGGCCAAGGACCTTCCAAAAAATGTTCCATATTTTGAAGTTATCTTTAACGTTGTTTGGAAATTAATTTAAACTAATTAAAACAAGGGAAAGTTGGCTAGACATCCCTCATTCTAGACTTATATATGTGAAGATCTAATCAGTTAGATGAATATAGGTGTAGGTCCATTGACTAAAAAAAATAATATAATTAAATAAACATACAAGTTATTAGATAAATTCCCTCAAACTAGTTTTATATGAAATTAGCTATTTACATAAAGAAGTGAAAACAAATCCCACATATCACTATCTTCCTTCCACAAATTTCTCTCTCTCCTCCCTCTTCTCTTTTCACGTATTTCTCTCTCTCTCTCTCTTCTCTCCTCTCTTCTTTCACGTACTCTCTCTCTCTCTCTCTCTCTCTCTCTCTCTCTCTCTCTCTCTCTCTCTCTCTCTCTCTCTCTCTCTCTCTCTCTCTCTCTCTCTCTCTCTCTCTCTCTCTCTCTCTCTCTCACCCATACACCACCTTTATACCTCTCTTTGACTTTTGCAATGGAATACATAGAGAAACAAAAAAGAGGTTCTTTACATTATGAGATTATATGTTGTGAAAGAGTTAAAAGCCGACAAGAAAAAAAACTCATTGCTTACAAAAAGTTGGCTCTTTACTCCTCCCTCTCTGTATTTATTTGTAGTGAATTTATAATTTGTGTTTGCGTTTTCTAATTGATTTTGCCTCAGCAAACAACAATTTTTTTTAAAATGGCAATATAAATTTGAGGCATAAAATAGAAGACTGCAAATTGCAATCCATAACAGTTGATTTTTTTCAAACTGCAATTTGCAATTTTAGACATTGGAAGATTTTATTGTTATTTTTTACATTTGCATGATGTTTATTTTTTTTATTAATGTTGTTATTGTGTTTGAATTTAGATGGTATGGATTTTCAGTTTGTTGTTTGCAATTAGATGAATTAGTTTGTTGTTTGCATTGGTCGAGTCACATGTAGTCTGCTGTTTGCAATTAAATAGTGCATATTATTTTTTCAATTTGTTGTTTGCAATTTGGTGAAATCATAGCCAATTGTTGAAGTTTTTTTGAGAGTCTGCGTTTTTGCAACAAATATTTTTTTATGACTTGATTTTGTTTTTTTTTTTAAATTAAAAGTGGGAGGAGATATGTTTTGGGGAATTTGATTTAATAGAGAGATTTTAGGGGATTTGATTGATAGAGAGATTTAGGGGTGGTTTGATTTGAATTGATTAAGGGTATTTTTGCCATAATAAATACAATTAATTTATTAAGAAATGAGATTTTTGACTAGGATTTATTCACATAAAATCTAATATAGAGGGACCTATAGCAAATTGCGCCTTAAAAAATATAGATAATTGGTGTATATGGAAAGTATCAACGGTAAAATGCATGGAACATCAATGCAGTGATTAAAATGTTATCCAAATATTTGAAATGTGAAGTGTGAACCACATTTAGGGGTAAAAATCGGACGGGACGAATCAAAAAGGGCTTTTTCGAAAAATTTCATATTTTTTTTGGAAGTTAAAAATGGGTTCTAATCTTTATTCCAAAAAAAATAGAATTCAAAAATCCATTCTGATTTGGAATGCCACAAAGCAAAGAGAATTTGGAAAATTTCGGAAATTTATAATCCTTGATCCATATTCTAACATAATGAGAAGTTTCACAATGTTTTCACTCCTTTTTCAGATCTTTCTAGCAAAATGCACGGAAATACAAATTAATTCAGCAAAATGCAGTATATAAAACAAGATGTAGAAAAAACAATATGCAACATTTAGTTTATGATAAAAGAAAAAATACAACAAATAATTTCCGATACCAATTAATCTTTTCTATGGAATTTAGTTTATTTGGCCCTTGGGTATTTATATTTTTCATAAAAAATATATCATACATTATATTATGGAGTTACAAAAATATACTATAAAATTATATTTTTATATTTTGATAAACAATCAAAATATTCAGAACTAAAAATCGGATCGAAAATTGGAATTTCCGATATTTTAAATATGATTCCAATTCCGTTCCAAAAAAAAACGGAATAATTGGAAATCGGAATGAAAACTACGTTTCCAAATTTGGTTATTTTCAGATCGTAATCGGCGGAATTCCAAAATTCCATTCTAATTTCCACCCCTAACCACATTGCGTTTATTACTTTCCTTTTTCTTTTATTTTTTTTTATGTGACATATATATGATGAATTTTTTTGTATTGTCGTCATATGTCTGATGATTTTAGAAGTTATTAGAATATGTTATTGAAAGGATGCTTAATGATGTTTGTTGGAGCTAGATTTCCGGCTATACAAGATTGTGGAAATCCACCAAGTTTATTGGACTTAAAAGATTGGCAAATATTTATTTCCATATTTATTTTTGGGAACTTTTTAAGTCTTATTAGGACTCTAGTTTATTTTCATGTACTTATTCTAGACTGGGTATCTTTTGTACTTATCTAGAATAGTGATAGAAATCGGCTAGGACTGTCTTTTCCAATTACACGATTTCTTAGAGATCAAGCACGAGTTTGGGAGGTTAAGTTCGTGCTTGTATAAAGCCTCACAAGCCATTAAAAATATGAGCACTTTCATTGGAGAAGAACATCTCATCTTGTTGAAGTTGTGCCAAGGTAGTCCGTGAAACAGTAAAAGTGTGGCATCATTGGCATGTCCCATCATATACAGAAGGGTTGTATAGATCTCGAGAGAGTTCATCCGCGTTTTGAAGGGAGTTTAGACTTGAAGGGAGTTCGAGGAACGCGGAGAAAAGCTGCGGTGTCGAAGCACGAAGTTTGAGTTGTGTAAAGAACGAATAAAAGTTTAAAGTGTTTTGTATCTTCAATTAAGTTCTATTAATGTACACTATAAATTGAACTAGTAAAATTGTGTTTGTAGGTCCTCGTGCATGTAGGGTACATTTGTGTCTG